TTCGTTGGGAAGTATAGGAGACAAATGAGGAGGCGGCATCTGCCGAAAGCGGGCTGGGCATGTTCCGGGGTGTCTTCACAAATTCAAATGCGGCCAACCAGAAGCCGGAAATAATGCCCTGGCGGTGGTCGCGAGAAACAAACCTGGTAAGTGCATCGGAGTAACTCTCGGTGACTGAAAACATGGTGCATTTGATGTTTCAGTCACGGTCATCCAAAATCGTGGTGGAAGAATGCGACTAGCGGAACGATCGACATAATCCGTACGCCAAGCGCCGAGGGCCGGGAATCTGCCATCCGAGCGGTCACATCTGTTCAAAACAGAGTTGCGCGCCGCATTTGTTTCTTATATCTTTCTGCATGATCATAATCGAAACATCACGTGCACCCTATTTTCAACCAGGAAGGGTTACTACATTTCAATCTTACGCGCTTATTAAAACCATATACGAACATATACCTTTGATCAGAACTGTTTCTCGTTACCACCGCTAGGGGATTCTTTTAGGCTTCTGGTTATCCTAAAAGAATGAGCACGTCAAGCCCTCTTTCTGCGTCTGGTGCACGTCCTGGCTCTTCCCACGCCTCCCATTGACCAAACTCTCTGTATATATCGGGTCTGGGTCTACTCATTAATAATTCCGACCAGAGCTCGCTGTTCTGACGTCGCCGCGAGCTCTCTCCCTCTTTCCCTTAGTTTCTCGGTGCAAAAGTACATCCGGCACTTATTAAGTTTCATTGTGCCCCTCATTTCGAAGCGTCACAACCAACCTAAACATTAGGAGGACTTTAAGGGGCGATGCAACGATATTATTGCACTTGGCGCAAATACCGCTTCGAACGGCAAGTATCGTTGCACGGCCCCGTTAAAGGTACAGCGCAACGATATTCAATAGGAATGTTTTCCACTTTGCACGGATTACTGGCACTAGTGGGACTCAATGACATTCGCACGCAACACCACTAACCAAGAAACTCCTTTGTTTCGGTGTAATTTTAAGGACAAAAGAGAAAGTTTTTCGCATTCCATCTCTGCTTCGCAAAACGTGATGACGTAATTAGGGGATCGCAGTATCCCCTGACGACGATATTTAAATGCGGCTCATAGATTGGACCCGATCATTGCGTCGGCACTCGATTTGGGCTCGTGATAATTGATAGCTCGAGGAGCCTTCGGGTAGTAGGCCGGGTCAAATCACTGCAATGACGAATCGTTGCAATCGCTGCAATGAATGGAAATGGCTACGTCAAGAGACAAAGGAACACAACCATTGGTTGGGAGCTATTTTAGGTTTCACAGCGACGTTACAGCGAATCGCTATATTGATTGAATAAAGACGCATACATACTTAAAGGCGATGAGCTCTTTCAATACACGACGTTGTAAGTTCTAAACCCAATTTTTCGAGGCACACCTCGAGGACAGTTTTTTCCCGATTGACTCCAAGTTTCTTTATCAGCATCACAGAAGCGAAAGACAAGAAGGTTACATCGGAGCGTTCTTCCCTCAGCCTTGTCACAGCGCACTCTAGTAGCTGAGATAATTCGGTGACCGTAGATGATAACAAGGGATCACGACCTCACTCTCTAATAGTGCCAAGGAAGGCTGAGTCACGCGGGTTGCCCCCTCCTTTTATTTATACTTGCCACGACCGATGGGAACGAAACGGGAGTTTTTTTTTTTGTTAGCATCCATGGACGAATAGGTTTCCATATCCTAGCACCATAACAACTTGGCTGTAAAACGAACTGGTGTTTCATAGGTCGTTAACGTCAGGGATCCGTTGTAAGCGGTATTAAATAAACAACTGAGTGTTTTTTAGCGGTATGTCAGCTGTCAGCTTCCATTCCACATCTCCCGCGGGAAATTGTGAAGTGAAATATTTAAATTGAAATACAATGTAAGATTGCAATTGGACATTCAATTAATAAAAAAAAATACCGTCCTTTTATATACCATAGCTTTAGTATTCCTTTTATCTCATACAATGCTAGATATCTGCTCAAGCATAATCATATGCATAATGTATCATTCGGGCGAAAAAACGGCGTAGTTTGTTGTTCTTATTTAAATGACACGGAATTAGTAGCGGTACTCTTACTCAATCAAGAACCACGGGACCTAATAAGTGTAAAGGAAACCGTTCATATGCCACTTTAAACAAAGGAAACAAGGTTGCGGTACCAAACAACAGGTAGAAAGCCATTTCAATGTTCTTGGTTTAATTACATAAGTCACTTCGTATAAGGGGTATTCACTTTATGCGCTATGTGAGGCCGATCTTTAGAGTGCTTGCTCAGAATGAGCGCACATTAATAGCCTGCAAAGACCGGCAATATGGATAGTGCGGAATGAAGTTGCAAAAGAAATGTGGATGCTCCCTGTCACCACGCACTCAGCAGTCACGCCCTCAAATATGGCGTCCTACACTTTGCGTAAACGGTCTCTTTTTTTTTTTTTTTTTTCACTGCGATAACAGTAAGTGGGACATTTCGCGGGTTTGGCACCGTCGACCGCGCTTCATATCGACGCGGGCCAGTTTCGTTATTACGTCACGTCACACTGTGACGTCACGTGACAATACGTCGTCACGTGAGTCGAACGGCACGTAGAAACATAAGCATGAGACTGCTCATAATGGGAACAATACAAACAATGGGTTTTCGCTAATTATGCCAGAAAGGTTCTCGGACGATAAAACCAACGAAGCTAGGAGGTTGTTAAGCCGGCGAAACCACGGGCGTGAAATTAGGTGGAGTTACACGCTTGAAACTCGAGTGCGCGATTTCGGAAGTATTCTTCAGTGACCACAAGGCGGTTCTAGTTTGTGTCCAATAACATTGCGTAAGACGTCCAGGCAGCCAGAGCAACGACAGGGAACGGTTCATGCGTAAACACATGCGGTTTCGACGTTCCCTGCGTTTCAAACTTGGGCGCCCTTAACATACGCGCGCCCAAGTTTGAAGTCCGAGTTTGTGTCCAATAAAGTTGTTTACCAGGTTCACGAAATGCTCTCTACTTAATTCACACTCACTGGTTCCGAAACTCAATGGAGTTTTCGTCCGGTGCGTCTCTCGGTTGGATGCGAAACGCCTATGTGGACTCTCTCGTGCGCGCTCGTTCCTTTACCGTTCATTCGGTCCATCTGCTCCGAAATGACACCTTACAGGAAGCGTAAGTGTTTACTAATTAGCTTTCTTCTTTTTTGTTGTTGTTTTAGATTAAGGTAACACGGCTTTACACAATACATAAATGGTTCTAGCATGGAATCGGGTTGCACGATCCTCTGCCAAATTAGTCAACCAATATACTGGGAATTTATGCACACGTACCGCATGTTTTGGATTTTGCTTTAGAACAGTAACTGCTGGAGACGCCAGCAGGTGTAGTGCGCGCAACTAGTCCGTGCACCACTAAGCTGGCAGTGCGGTGGTAGCTAAGGGCTCACTGGACCAACCGACCGCCTTCCTTTCGTCACCTGACCCCCGGCGAAGAGGGGCGAAGGGGCAAGCGTATGTGGTTCAGCGAGCGCGTAGCTTCCACCCCACTGTCAGCTTAGGGATGAATAGGGTATGCACTGGGCATCATGCTTCTTGGTAACTTGAGAATCCCACAATAGGTACATTACAAGCGGTGCGCCTCTTACTCGAAATTGGCTTGTTTTCTTTGGGATTGCAACAACCGTCCGTGGCGTATCTAATGAGATTAACCTCCAGGAAAAGAAGTTCGCCGTTTCAGACGTCACATGCGATTCTCAGCCGAGTTCACTGCCTTATTCGTCGAGTCAAGTCTCCTTTTTAACCTTCGTTAGGTCGTTACGTTTCTTCTTAGGATTTTTGGAGCCCCGCTTTACGTGCACTTCACGGGCATTTAGCCCGAAGGCTTTCATAAGATCAGCGATTCAGCTCGTGATCCCCATTCAGAGCGTGGCCCAACTTTACGCCGATTCTTCGAGAGCTTTCGGCATCAATGTCAATTGAAATGCTCATATATATAATATACCCCATAGACATGATCATAAAGGCGAATCAATTCGCGGTCCTCAACGCGTGGCATGTAGTCGCTATCCAGCAGTTTAGGCTCACGCCGATTGCAGAGGAACCCAAGTTGGGGACAGGGTTCCGTGTTGTCGAGTTTATTTTTCTCCACGGATTCGGTGTTTCTCGGTGTCAATTTTCGACATCAGACAAAAAAAAAAGGCGTTTCGGGGGCTTATGTTGAAGAAAATAGAACAGGGAATGATGGTAAGGTGGTGATTTGGGCCAGTTGGTAGAAGTTTTACATGATAGGGGTCGGAAATGTAAGAGGAGGAGTGGGAAACTCGCCGGGGGGGGGGGGGGAAGCCAAAAGAAGCTCCTCCCCTCCTCCGTTCCGTCGCATCAGAGAGATTCTCGCCGAAGTCAAGCTTAGCACCCCCTGCTCGGAGCACCTGGAGCGAAAGCTCGCCCAGAGCAGAGCCCAGGAATCCTGGGTTCAATCCTCACCACTGCCCGTTTCGATGTGGATGGGCATGGTACCGGTTTGCGGTCGTGTACCACTACTTCGTGGTGAACGTTAAAGAACCCAGACTAGCGGTTGCACTGCACAGGCTAAATTTCTTATCTACAGCTGAGACAGCAGACGTTCATTGGGGATGACTAACTTCCGGCTGTAGAAACATACACACAACACAAAAATTGCGTACGGCTTTGTCCTGTTGTATGTGTTTTTTTTTTATCGCTGCCTGTGTTTGTTTTTCGCTGTTTATCCCTATCATGTACAGCAGGGAATAAGATTTTCCAACTAGGGAACATGCACGTAACTCGAATACTTGGGAAACGTTATTTTCTCCCGTGAAGCTTGGGTTTTATCTTCTTTAAAGCACGACCCACTCTATATAGAGTGGGTCGTGATTTAAATGCAGCCCCAATTCTGTGGTTTTTGATTTTTTCGATTTTGGTAAAATGGTTTCGGGGGTTTAGTGGTGCTTACCGAAAACACGTAATCTTATGTTACAGGTACTTTTAGGCTCGTCGTGTAAATCGTGAAATTCCTTTTCACCGAAAGAACAAAAATCGTCCACTTAGCGACTCTTCCGGAGAAGCGCTCTTCCGCATCGTTCAGCCCCCAGCTGGAGCTCAGGTACGTGTAAAAACCTCGACCGCCAGTGCCTTCGAAGGGTCCTACAAACAGCAAACGAGCGCTGGCCGCGTGAAGGCATTCGGGAATTTCACGACGCTGTCAGAGTTCATCTGCAACCTTCACACTGCGAGCGAAGCGCCATCGAGCCAACAACGGAGCGCGAAATGCGGTCTGCCTTTTAACGCCGAACGTGTTCTATGGCTGGCTCCACTTCCTGCGATGGACTCGTGTCACGGAAAATCTTCACACGAGCGTCGTTGACTGAACACAAGTCCGAAGGCTTACGCGACACTCGAGTCCAGTCTTAGTCCTGCGCTGGCATTGAGTTCGGCTTTCTACCCGTGATCTGTGTCACTTCCGACGACAGGAGCAGTGCACGTGCGCAGGTTTAATCGGCATTCTTAGGCATAGGGCCATTTTCTCAATGCCTTTGACTGCATTACCCGAGAAAGTTGTTGGTTTGAAGCGAGCGCGCTCGCACATATAGTGCAAACACATGCAAACATGTGACTCGGAGGAGGACATACGAAATAGCAAAGCTAAAGCCTAAAGCTGTGGTGTGCGGTCGGCGCAAACTTGACGCTACACTCTACCTGGAGCGCTAGCTTTGGCAGTACCTTTCGTCAAGACTCACGCTGACATTCGCGTCGTTGAGGCACAAAAGGCATATACAGGGTCAGACACGTAGCTAGGATTTTGCTTCGGGGAGGGGGGCCCATGGGCCTTCCCCCTGGCTACGTGCCTGTACAGGGTTCATCTTTGCAACGTCACCGACAAGCAACGCACAGTACTTACCGTACCCCGTTCCATTGCCGCGACAGTGCGGGAAAGGGGAAATGTTTCCGCGGCGCTGGTGTACCGTTCGCTTCTCAAGCGTAAAAGCAAACTTGTGACGTGCTCATTACGAGTAATAAAGTTACTTTTAATCGATTACTTTGACGAGAAATTTGAAACCATTTATCTTGATTAATAGGAAGTAATAACGAGAGCAATCAGATTGCTTTTGGAAGCAAAAAAAAAAATAAACTTGTAACCGTTCCTATTTTTCCTTTCTAATTGCGCTCTTTGTTCGTACAAGTCTCCTACAAAGGAATCCTCTAACCATGTTTCCAAAGGGAGCATGGATTGCCAAAGTTGCTGGATCAAAGACACTTTAACTCGGTGATTCTTATAGACTGCTTGAAAAACCGAAGCGATCTTAGCGGCGCAGTGCCGCGCGAAGCATCTTGGGAACCTCTTTTAGTCACGGTTTCGGTTTCGATTTGCCAACCTCACTTCACGACATCCCGTCACGACCAAATTCAGTGCGTGCATTTTCAAATCTGTGAGTTTCTTGAAATTTATAATACAGTAGGTGTTGCCTACCAATACAGATAGAAGCCTGGGGCACGTTCTTGGAAGGGGGGGCTTTCGACGTACCAGCGTTGTGCGCAGATAAACACGTAAAGAGGTGCACTGGGCCGATCGTCCTGCTCCATCGTCTCAATTTCCTAGGCTTCTTAAATGATCCGTGGCCCGGGAGGGTCATGCTGCACTCGGGAGTTGTAGCCATGCCGCGGTACTCTTATTCCTCGCTAAGTCTAGGAAGGTCCTTACCTTCCTAGACTTAGCCCCCTTCGTCTTAGACCCCTTCGTCAGGGCTTAAGAGACCCCTTCGTCACGAAAACGAAAGGGTGCAATACGAGCGAGCGCTGACTTTATTTTCATGCAGTGCTGAGATGGACCACGTCGTCAACGGGAACAATCAAAATCGAAACCGTGCCACTGCTCTCCGTGGCCAAAGAAGTCCCATAGTTCAACGCGCGCAGTGTTGCACGCTGGGATTTTTGGAAGTTGTCTATTCAGTAATGAACAGTACGAAAGACCGTTTTCAAACAAGCAGAAAGTCCGTCATTTTGAAAACCTGAAGTAATAGGAAAAGTAACGATTACTTTTTCAAGTAACCGTAAGTAATTGTAATTGTAATAGATTACCTTTTCCAGTAACATATGTACAACGCTGCATAATAGCACTACTTGTTTACGTAATTTTCCTTTATTTTTTCAGCTTGGAGAATCACCAAGTGTTCACCATGTAGAAGTCAATGGTTCCAAGAACGGTTCGTAACATCGTGCTCTGTAAAAAACGCACTAATTATTTCTGCTATTATTTAATTTGCTTTCGCATTAGGACTATATATATATATCACCACGGCTGCTTCCACCCGCTCTTCGTGGTCAGGGGTCGTCGCCATCGGCATTTATATACTTACTGGGACTCTTCTGAAGAGTTTACGACATTGTGAAGGTCTTAAAATGAGCAAATTGATGCACGCGCGCTTATCCAGCCTGGGCGAACGAGTCGTTTGTCGTGAGAGGCGAGAGGCAAACAAGGGATCCGGAACGACGCTGCTTTCCTCCTCTGCTGACCGCTCGAGGAAAACGCGTCAGCCGTCGTTAGTTCCGCCGCAGGACGAATGGCCGCTGCGACGGGCACGTGGCTCTTATTAGACACGTGACGTCGTCGGCGTTTATCTTGCAAGACTCCCTGCTCGCGAGCGTATTTTGGTAGCGACGGAGGCCGAGAAGTTTTGAGACTGAGCTTGACAGACCGTGGGCTCATGTCCCTCCAAAAATCCTTCGACCGCCTTAGTAGATATCTCAATGGCACTTGGCAACGCGAGCGCTCCTTTCCACGCAGTGCTTTCCGCGCCGCCGCACTAAGCCCTCATTTAGTCTGTTTTGATTCTCGGCATCCATTAGGTCTGCCGTCTTTTGGTAGCGGAGTGGCTTACAGTGACCTAGATTCGAGTTAATTGAAGTAAAACTTATTATCTCTTGGTAGTCTAAGGCGAGACCGGTTAGGTCACGTGAGTTTCTGGTTAGTATTCTATAGGTAGCTTCTATATGCATGACTTGGTCCGGTCAAACTGGCTCAGGCAAAGCCAGGTGAGGGTAGACTAGATTAGTATCCTCGTCAAGGATTTCCCGAGACAAATTTGGCTTATATATACTTGGCTTAGTCTGGTCAAGTTAGGTCAGGTTAGTGTAATACTACATCGAGGTTTGTCCGAGGCTAAGTTTCCTTATAGGCACGGGTGGTCTCGGTTAGCTCAGGTAAGGACACGTTAAGCTACGTCAGGTAATTTTATGAAGAGTTAAGTTACGCTAGGTTAGGTTAAGTCATAGGTTAGCATTGGTACGGTTGGGCTTAGTTACCCGGGCTACAAGGATAGGTAAGAAGGAAGGAAGGTCACGTTGAGCATCCGGGCGACTGATCTACGTCGTACGGCGTGTCCGAGCACGGTCCTCGCTCGTCAGGTCAGTCGAGAGACACCGCCGAACACGCGAGGCCATGCCCCGCGTGCTGGTGATTGGGGCTGGCGCCAGCGGCCTCGCGGCCGTCAAGGCATGCCTCGAGGAAGGCGTCGACGTGGTCTGCATCGAGAAGACATCGGACGTGGGCGGTCTTTGGACGTACCGCGAGGAGAACGTGGACGGCGTGGCGTCCATCATGTACTCGACGACCACCAACACGAGCAAGGACCTGTCCGCCTTCAGTGACTTCCCGCCGCCGCCGGACTTCCCCAACTACATGCACAACAGCCTCGTGGCCCGCTACCTGGAAAGCTACGCCGACGCCTTCGGGCTCAAGCGCCACATCCGCTGTTCGCACGTCGTGCTCAGGGTAAGCCTGTTCCAGTCGACCTCAGGTGTGGACACCAGAACACGTTCATTTCATCCATGCTTTACTATAAATTCCTAGGGACCATATTCGAGTTTCTCTGGCGGTCACATGACCGCTGCCGACCATGGGATGCAGGCTAAAGCAGCAGTCCCACTGCTTATACATCATACGAAAGAAGGTTTGCAGACAGTGTCTGGGGCCTTCCTTTTATGGCGATCACAGTTGTCATACTTCCTGCAGACTTCTCGAAGCGTGTATGAAGCAAACGTGCTTTAAGCATGCTTGAGGCCTGCCCGCAGATGATTTTGCCATCATGTCTTCGGCGAACACCGTGTTTTGCTGTATGATGTTTGAGCGACTGCGGCCTAACGCCGTGGAGCACTCATAAGCTTTTAGATTTAGAAGTGTCTTACAGCGCACGAGCCAGCACGCTGAGTCAGCGTCATCCACTGCCTTCCCTTTGCGCTAGAGTCTTTCTAACTGTGTTGTGTGTAGATTTATGCAGCCGGAAGTTAGTCAGCCGCAATGGACGTCTGGTGTCTCGGCTGTAGATGAAAAATTTAGCCAGTTGAGTGCAACCGCTAGCCTGGGGTCTTTAAAAGGATACGGAACCAAGCATTCTAGTGTCCATATTAAGTGGCGCACGATCTTTCCACGAGCCAGCAGCCGCCGATGTGCGCGAGCACATGCAACGAAATTGACTTCATAGTCCTCCATTCACGCTTAAGATGACAGCGAAACGTATGGGCTCCGTTCGAAAGAAGAATAAACGCAGACTCTTCATCTCCACAAGCGAAGGTTAAGTGCTTGTTAGATCAATTAATCGCCTGGCTTTTAGAGCAGAACCCACTGTGGAGACGAAAAGCCTGTCTTTATTCTCCTTTTCTCCGGAGCCCACACACCGGCGGCCCACCCATGACAAAATGCTCTATAAGGGGGAGGGGGGAGAGGAGGTCCCAGCAAAATAGAAGATTTCGGGGGGGGGGGGGGGGGGGGCTCATGGGCCGCCCCCCCCCCCCCCCTGGTTACGTGCCTGTGGGTAGACCTCAAAGAAAGCTGTCTTGAGGTCTACCCACTATCTTTCACTCAGAGTCAACCAGAGCTCGGCGTTCTGACGTCACCACAACCCCTGCAAAAGAGGCAGATGAACTTTTTCCCCGCATAGGCCCCTTTCAAAAGTCACGTGCCGATTACTAGACGGTCGGAACCCCTGCACAATGGCAGAACAACTGACGTCGTGAAACGTGCGGTCATCATTATTAAAAAGAAAACAAAAAATTGGAGCAGAGCCAACGCTACACTTCGTGTCACTAGTTGCGTGCAGTACAGGCGAAGGCAACGCCAAGCGAGGGGAGAAAGGGCAAGCACTAGGGAGGCTAAAAAAGGAGGAGGGAAACCTCCTCTTTTCTCTAACGTTCATAGTGCTCTCCCTTTTTCCCCTCGCCCTCCATTGCCCCCCTCTTCCGTCCCGCATTTCTAGCGCTCGTCCTTTCTCCCCTCGCTTGGCGCTGCCTTCGCCTGTACTGCACGCAACTAGTGACTCGGAGTATAGGATCCAACATGTCGCGGAGTCGAGTGAGACGCAGACGCATCGGGTTCCAGTCGGCAAGTGAAGTGACTTTATTCAGGAAACATTAGTGTTTTAGTAGATCGTTCAGTCACTCCCGCTGCGCTATCCGTTAGCCGCTACGGCCTCCGCTATATGTAGCGTAGCGGAACCACCATTTTAAGCGTTCAAAGTGGAGCGTCACTGCGCTCACCACCGTTTTCTTTTGTGGGTGTGTTTTTGCCTTCTAATCCAACCAGACGCATAAAGTGTGCCCTGACGTTGCGGTTTTAAGCCGCCATTGTAGGGGGACTCCACAGCTGCCAACAAAGGGTAGTCTTTCGAAAAAAAAAATCGATAAAGCAAAATCAGCTTTCTTTTTTTCTTCTTAGAACGAGTGTAACAACTTTGTGTTGACTTGAACTCGCAGTTTGGCCACTCGCTTCCGCTTCGTAAGCTGCGTAGTCTGAACATCGATACAAAAGTCCTGCAATGGATAGCAAATGATCTCGGTGACAGGAAACAACGTGTCTTCATTAACGGAATTCACTCATCATATGTAGCCGTAACATCGGTTGTGCCGCGAGGTTCAGTTTTAAGCCCCTTCCTTTTCTAATTTTTATAAATGACATTGCAAACGGAATCTCATCTCACATCAGGTTGTATGCGGACGATTGTGTTTTGTATAAAGAAATACGCGGAGACGCAGATGTTGAAGTTCTACAGAGTGACCTAGATAGCATTTCAAGGTGGTGCGACAGATGGAAGATGTTTCTTAATACATCCAAATGTATCCTTGTTTAATTTACAAGAAAACGGCAAAATATCTTGGAGTGCAGTTGTCCGATGATTTGAGGTGGAAGAATCACGTCAAGGGTTTATGTTCTAAAGCTAGCGGAATGTTACATTTCCTCCGTCGCAACTTTCGGCAAATGTCTGCAGACCTGAAAGGGACTCCTTATTTCTCTTACTTTCAACCGATTTTAGTATACGCGTGCATTGTTTGGGACCCGCTTACGCAAACATGTATTAAGTATCAAGTAGAAAGGATTCAAAACCAAGCGGCTAGATTTGTTTCAGATAATTATAACTTCCGGGAAAGCGACTTAGAAATAAAGCGCACACTAAGATGGAAATCTTTGCAATTTAGAAGGAAATGTCTACGTTTAAAGTTTTTGCACAATCTTTATAATGGGAACACACGTCTCGATAAGTCAAGATATTGTATAACGCCTTCCTATATTTCCCGCAGGGTAGATAATTTTTTAAAAAAGTTGAGAATTCTGTGCGAGGATCGACTGATGTCCTAAAGTATTAGTTTTTTCCCCAGACGATCCACGAATGGAATATGCTCCCGGAGGCATTAGTAGAACTTTCTTCTGTTTGCTCCCTTTTTGTCCCTATCATGTTGAGGTAAGGTGCCCATCATCCTTTGTAGTATAATTTTTTTTTGTTGTTGGCACTGTACTGTGTCTATTGTTTTTTGTTTTGTATGGCATCATTTGTATATTTGCTGTTTTGTGCTATTTCTCACGTACTATCCCCCCCCCCCCCCCGCCCCCCTTACTGTAATGCCCACTGGGCGAAGTAGGTAATAAATAAATAAATAAATAAAGACTCGTTGTTGGGTTAGCATGATATACAGACTAATATTTTACGGTCCTCTCTGTATGCGCATACAAGTTTAGTCAACCCCGACTCGTGTAGCGCTTCCGTCACTATTCTATAGCACACAGAAAAAAAAAAAAAAAGAAAAAAAAGAATGGCATTTAGAAACTTCGTGGCAGTATGCTTTTGGCAGCCCTTATTTATTGACCAAGCAAATTCTATCTGTTTTCTTTTTTTGCTTCACAATTTTTGTTTTGCAAAACCGAGGGACGAAAATTCGACCAAGCGTGTTCGGTCGGCCTTTTGGGTAGTTCGTTTTGCATTTTGCACCTCGCATGCCTTTGTACGTACGTTCCGATGGAGTGCAGCTTGTTTTGCTCGAATAGAGGTAACATGAAAAGCCAACTTGTTCGGCATGTCACTGTGGCGTATAGTCATTCCCACGTGTCTTCCCGCTTCCTCCATCCCATGGCCACCGCCCCTTCCCGGACCTCTTCATTCAATTGTTCCTTGAGGCATAATCCGAGTCGGCTGACTGCGCGCGCTCCTGCCCATTGTGCCTTGGTTCGTTCTGATGCTCTCCCCCATTAAAATCAACGTTTCTTCGTTCGTTTCTCTCGGTGATATGGCAATTACACGTGTCCACGGTGTCCACGTGTCTGAGCGCACGCGCGAGGATGCACAAGGCCCGCTTATTACGTCACCGCTGGTAGGCCTCCGACCCGCAGCAAGTGGGAAACACGCTAAACGGGATTACGCCGCAAATCGGAAGACGCTTGCACCTTGGCGCTGCCGCGCGCTGGAGTTGAGCCCCGCTCCTGTCGTTTACACCGAAGAGGTGCCGGGGAAGGGATGTCAGTGTTTGAAGCCCAATTTAGCGGATTCAACTCGTTACACCGCCGCTAACGAATTTAGCGGTCCGTACACACGCGACACTGTAACGGTGCTGGCTAGTGCTATGGCAACCTGCGGAACCATTGGCAGCGCCACCGCGCCGGTCACGGGGTATTTCGGCAACGGTACCATAAAGCTTTCTTCTCTTTCTCGGATACCAGTTCCTGGCTCCTGTCATATTCGATACAGACACCAGAGAGTTTAACAACAAACTATCATTACGAACAAACTAGTCCCCCGCCAAACCGGGATTGTTTGTTTGTTTGCCCCGAGCATTCATCGCTCCCTCCGTTGCGTAGATGACGTCACATCGCGGCATCACAAAAACCTGTGACGTTTTCGTCACGCGATGCGCGCGCCGGGGATTTTCTCCTCGTGTAAGTGCCGCTTTACGCACGCTTTTGCCGAGAAGAGTATACTTTTTTTTTTTTAAATCGTGATATGGGCTTATTGAAATTGTTCGGAACACTCGAAATATGGCCTAGAGTTTCTTCTTTTAATTTTCACATTCATCTAAAACAGTTACGTGGGAGTTTTGTAACCATAATTGTTTCCGCAGCCTGTTTTATATTTTCTGGTTTTAGTTTTTAATTTTCCTTGTTCGAAGGAGTCTTCATCTCCATTACCAAAGTCGCACGCCCGTGACCTTCCATTTGTTGAAAAAAGATAACATTTGAGGATGATGAAAGAGAGATATGCGAGATTCATAGACGCTTTATTTCATTTTTTATTTAATATTTTTTGTTATAAAGACTCCTCACCTGTTTTGGGAGGTTGCGGCAGGAGGGGTTGGTACATTTCACTGCACAAGAACTTAAACGAGGAAATAATTAAATGTAGAAAATACACAAAATTAACACAGAAGTGCCACAAACAGCAAAACAAAACAAGACTCAACTTTCCACGGTCCGCCTTCGAATGTACTTAAACATAACTCGACTGATGAGTTCAC